GCTGCTGATGATGCTGATGGTGATGGTAATGATCATGATGGAGAGAGCGTGATCCACCGCCGCTTTACTGTGGAAAATTGCCGCCCTTTTCCTCCGGAACCCGGGGGGTCTCCCCCCCCCTCCGAAAATCCCCCCCCCTGCTGGAATCCCCCCCCCCTCTCCCCCGGCAAAACCCCCCCCTCCCCTAACCCCTCCCCCCCCCCCCCTCCCCCTCGAAAACCGAGGGGGTCACTACCGGTTCGAACCCCCCCGGGGTCACTACCGGTTCGAACCCCTCCCCACCCCCCCTCTCACCGCCAGCAAACGACTCCCGGTCCCTACCACCGTCCTCACCACATCCCCCACTGTTGTTCCCAGCACCACTGTCCTCACCACCACTGTCCCCACTGGTTCCACCACCGCCCCTACTGTCCCCACCAGTGCCACCACCACTGTCGCACTGTCCCCACTGTCCCCACCACTGTTCCCACCACGGTTCCACTCTCCCAACTTTCTCCACGGCCCCAACCACTGCCCGACTATCCCCACTGTCCCCACTGTCCCACTGACTCCTCCGCTGTCCCACTGAGCTGTCCCACTGTTCCCACCACTGTCCCCACTGTCCCCACCACTGTCCCCACCCTCTGCCGTCCTCGCCACCGCCTTCACCACTGTCCCCACCACCACTGTACCCTCCACTGTCCTACTGTTTCCACCACATTCCCACTGTCCCCACACCACTGTCCCCACCACCACCGTCCCCACCACTGTCCCACTGTCCCCACTGTTCCCACCATTGTCCTCACCATTGTCCCCACCACTACCGTCCCCACCACTGTCCCACTGTCCCCACCACTGTCCCGTTGTCCCCTCACCACTGTCCCCACCACCACCGTCCCCACCACTGTCCGCACCACCCATCGGTTTTCGAGGGGGGGGGGGGTTCGAACCCGTAGTGACCCCCCCCCCCGGTTTTCGAGTTCGAGGGGGGGGGGGGGAGGGGTTCGAACCGGTAGTGACCCCCCCCCCTTTTCATGATGAACTGGGGGGGGGGGGAGGGGTTCGAACCGGTAGTGACCCCCCCCGGTTTTCCGGAGGGGGGAGGGGAGGGGTTCGAACCGGTAGTGACCCCCCCCGGTTTTCCGCCAGCAGCGGTAGAACACGCTCTTTCTCATAATGATGATGATGATGATGATGCCGATGATGATGGTGGTGATGATGATGATGATGATGATGATGATGATGATGGTGGTGGTGGTAGTGATGATGATGACGATGATGACGATGATGATGATGATGATGATGATGATGATGATGATGATGATGATGATGATGATGATGAACATGACGACGACGAGGACATGCGGAGGGCAGAGGCAGGGATGGGAGGAAGGAGGTGGGCGAGGAGGAGGAACGGGATGAGGAAGGCAGGAAGGAAAAAAGGAAGGAGTGAGTGACGCGGGGCGCTGTCTCTTCAAAACGAAGACCCAACAAAAGGTTGGTTGGGAATAGCCATCTCCGCCGTTGCAACCATAGATACATTGCATACCCTCCGTTCGTAGCCTCGGGGAGTGAAGCCTGACAGTTCAGGGCACTCCAGAAGTGAGTGCCCTGTCTTGACGAATTTCCGACCCTAGTCTCAAAGTGCCAATGACTCTCTCGCCGCGCAGCGTGGTCACAGAGGATCGCGCCCTGACGGAGCCCTGACCTCATCTATGGTTTTTGTTGAAGGCGTTTTGCTATAATTGTATTTTCACGGACTCTTAGGGACTCGGCCAGGACCGCGGCTGCCAAGGACGTTCATGATTCGTGTGGCCCAGGCGAAAAGCGAAATCGCGCGAAAAAGCAATAAGCAGATCCACGCCCTACAACGAAGGGCATTCAAGAAGTGAATGCCCTGTCCCGACGAAGTGATGACCCCATCTATTCTCGAAGTGTCAACAAATGAATCATAATGTATACGTACAAACTTTACAACATCGCAGCCAAAACTTTAGAGGCTTGGCCAGGGCCGCGGCTTATGGGAGGGTTGGTGGCCCGCTCGTCGCAGAAGAAACGAAATTATGCCTGTGGTCACAGAGACACGCGTAGATGCGTTCGCTTCTCATCCCCCGCCGCGCAAAGGATCGCGTCTAGACGGACCTCTGACCTCATGGTGTTTCTTTGATTGCACATTGTGGAGCGGTGGTATCTTCTCACGGGCCCTTGACGGAGCGCTGACCTAATCCTGTTTCCATAACTGCTTACAGTATCTTCTACCACTCTGTTGCAACTGCCGCCGTGCATGCTCGAGCGAAGTCGAGACATCCCGCGAAGTCGAGACACCCCGCAGTGAGGAATCCTTTGTAGGGAATTCCCAGTCGGGATTTTTTTGCAGGCATCCCAAGTAAGGAACCCTGTGCAGGGGACTCCCAGTAGGGAACCCTTCGTAGGCATCCCCAAGAAGGAATCCTTGAGTGAAGGATCCAGAGTAGTGAATCCTCATTAAAGACTTCGGATTAAGGGAGCCTGAGGGAATCCGTCCGGAATCGCCAGCGTCCATGGTGCGACAGATTGCCCAGCACAGCCTCGCTTCGCCCGCGAGGACACGCGTCAACGTCTGCAAATTCGGAAGGATACCCTTAAGGCTTCGTTCTTCAGAATTCTCCCATCAGTACGATTCCTATCGGGATTTCGAGGCAGTGTCGATGTTGATGTCGGTGTCGGGGGGGGCGCGCGGGTCCACGGGCCGTCAGTGCAGGGGTTCGCCCTAGGGGGGAAGGCGTGAGCAGGCGTGCCGTGGGCCGGGCCCGCAGTTTGAGTGTTGACGTTGTTGTTGTTGTTGTAGTTGTTGTTGTTGGTGTTGTTGTTGTTGAATTCTTCTTTCGGCAGCAATTTTTTTTGATTCCCCTCTCCAGAAACCGTTGTAGTTTTCAATTGAAGTGCCCTCCTCGGGGCTCGCACCCTCTTTTTAATCAGGAAGGCTTCGTGCCACCAAACTGTGTTGTTGGGCCCCGACGGCTCCTGCGTTGTGCTTTTCACAATTTATTCAATAGGCGCGCTCTCGCGCGTGCCCCCCTTACACGTTATTCAGGAATCGCGCTCTGGCGTGGGACTTTCTCACAATTTATTCAGACGACGCGCCCTCGATATTCGGGAATCACGCTCTCGTTGTAGCCTTTCTAACGCTGTACTTGGGATTCGCGCTGTCGCTCGATCTCTCCCCGCGATTCCTGCAGTATCCACACTTCAGCAACACGCCTTCTCGACCTGGCCGCTTGGGCCCACCTTCCCGACCCGCCCGTTAGGGTCTACCCGCCCGATGGGCCCGACTGGTTCTTCCACGTGTTTTCTGCTCCTAGCCCCCCTCCTGCTAATTCCGTGCTCCATTTTTCTTCCTCCCCCTTCCATCCGTCGTCTCTTCCCCTGTTTCAGGGGCTGTGCCAATTACGCGTGGTAGGTGAGGAAGATACACCCCCCAAGGGTGTACGATCGAAGACGGAAAGGGCGGGTGCTGAAGATTTGGGATATTCGTGTTGAATGGCACGCGAGCGCGTGAGAGCGAACAGTCTTACAACTGTTGTAGTTGTTGTTGTTCTTGTTGTTGTTGTTGTTGCTGTTGTTGTTGTTGTTGTTGTTGTTGTTGTTGTTGCCGTTGTTGCGATTGTTATTGTTAGTATCATTATTATCATTAATTTTTGTTTGTATTTTAATAGTGCTATCATTCGTTTTATTATCATATTTACTCATCGTTTTAGTGTTGTTGTTGTTGTTGTTGTTGTTGTTGTTGTTGTTGTTGTTGTTGTTGTTGTTGTTGTGGTTGTTGTGGTTGTTGTTGTTGATGTTGTTGATGTTGTTGTTGTTGAACATTATTTATTCTAAAGAATAATTATTGTTGGGCCCCCTGGTGCGCGCCCCCCCTGCGCCGCCTAGGCCGCAGCTACATTTTCATCATTTTCGTGAGGAAGCCTCAGAAAAGAGGGTGTGTACAGGATCCGGTTGTTTTGTTGTAATCCGCTTTCCCTTGCAAAAAACAATAGAAAATGACATTTCTTGTTCTAATATAATCAAATTTCAAGAATCCCTTGCAAAAAATAAGGTAAAGTGGACATTCGCGCGCGCAAGACGAAATCCTTCCAAAACCTTAGTGTTCGCAGCGATTTTAACATAAAAACATCAAAAAACCAATGGTTTTTCAACAAAAAATTGTCAAAATCTCATCCCGCGCGCTCTTGCGGATTCGTAGGAAACCCAACACTTTTTAAACATTTCTGTCAAACGGGCTTTTGCGAGCAACTTTTTCGAACTTCTGCGACAACGGTTGCGCACCTGCCAGGGCCATCATCCCTGTCAAATAATACCATGCGGGACACATTCGTTTTTTCTTCGCGCGCGCACGCCGTCGTCGTCGGCCGCGGGGCCCTGAATAGTAGCCACGGTCGTCCGCATGCCACGAAGTGAAGTGTCCGAACGTCATAGGGCGGGAAGCTGGGTGTGGGTGGTGGCGAAGAGTCGTTTGGAAATTTGGTAGAGCTTGAACCGGCCCCCCCACAAAGTGGGGGTATTGCCCGCCTCCTATGAAAACCCTGGCACTGGTGAGAACGGAGTGTCCCCACGTGCTAGTAATTGTTGTTGTTGTTGTTGTTGTTGTTGTTGTTGAATTCTCACGACTGAATAATACTTATTGTCGATCCCCTTTTGGTGACCATTGTGTTTTTTTCCATTCAAGGGCTTCCCCGGGGGCTCGCACCTTGTTATATATATATATATATATATATATATATATATATGTATATATGTATATATGTATACATATATACATATATAATCAGGGATAGTCACTAGGCTCAAACTGGTATGTGGTCCCTTGGATTACAACAACAACGGCTCCCGCCGGATTTTTTTCCCAATTTAGCCAGGACCCCCGTTCCCGCCTGAGACTTCCTTGCGTTTTACTTAGGAATCGCGCTCTCGCTTGGGACGTCCTGACAATTTATTCAGGATCTACTCTTTCGGCGCTCTGGAGTCGCGCTCTCGCTGGA